AAAGATCCCAATATTATTTAAAAAACGAAAAATCTTCTTTTTCCCTCAATGCTATTTAACTGATCAACAACATTCACTGTCATAATTTATGGTTTGGTGAGGTGAGGGAAGACGCAGGCAGACTAGGATGTAGATAAAAACAATGATTTAATGAAGAATCCAAAAATAAGAGTCCAACAGGGATGGCACAGGGAAACAGACTCAACGGCATAACACGACAAGGATCTGACAACAGACAAGGACAACAGGTGGGACTAAATACACTGGGAGGGTAATCAAAGAAACAAGACACAGCTGGGAACAATCAACAGGGAAGACACAGAGACTCACAGGGGAAACAGGCTAATAAAGACAGAAAAACCTCAAAATAAATAAACAGAAAACACAGATCACAACATTCTCAAATTTCAATTCCCTATTAAAACCTAATTCCATCTTAATGGGTGCTTTCTTCTTTTATTTCCAATTTTGACTTCCAATGATTCACTTCCTGCTGAAGAGCCCCCTGGTGGTTGAAGAAAAATCCACATATAAACCACATCGGATTATAAGCCGCATGGTTCGAAGCGTAGGAAAAAAGTAGAGGCTTATAGTCCAGAAAATAGGTAAATAATAACTAAACAAATATAAGCAACCTAGACAGACAAAGAACAACCAGTGACGAAAAATAAACTAGACTCAGAAAGGAAGAACTGAAGTGAAAATGGAAATGAGGCAGAACTAATAGAAAAACTAAGGAACACAAAAAAATGACAGAACCCAAAACAAAACTCGAACAACCCCAGATATGACAATTACCATATCTTTATGAGGAATATTATGAGTATGATGAATAATGTGTCAGTTGGTTCACCTTTATCCGGCTTCTTGCAAAAAGCTCCACAATTTCTGTTCTGAACTGGTCTTGATTCTTATTGAGGAAATTATGGACCTGCCAAAAGATAGTGGCAGTTCTTTGTTCCAGTCTTCTAGTACAAATTAGTTGTTTAAAATCAAAAGTGGTGAATACTATACCTGATATGTGACAGTTCCTGCATAGTGATGAATAGTGAAGACTGGTATTGGGTTCTTGGGTTTGATATAGAAGGGGTTGGTTGCATGGTGGTAATGGCATTTCTGAAGGAAGGTGTGGTCAGTAGCCTATAAAACCCAAAAGAAGAATTCAAGTTTCACCTAAGTTAAAGCTATATTTTTATTTACATACACACACACAATTTGCTTTTCCTCAGTGCCTGGCATTAATTCTGAAAAACTGTTTTGGTTTTTGGTTTGTTGGGATTACAAAAATTATTTCTATTAGTTAAATACCAGAACAATGAGAGGGGACTTTTAAAATTAATTTGCTTTCAACATTTACATACAGCAAAAAACACTGTGCTTCAAACACTTTTCAGAAAGCCCAGATGACAATGTCATAGCTTCATCAACTTTTTTAGGTTAATTCACAATACACACACACACACACACATATATTATATATATATA